CCAGTTAATTTATACATTTTTTTTAGAGACGTGGTCTTGCTGTGTTGCCCAGGCTGGTCTCAAACTCTTGGCAACAAGAGATCCTCCCGCCTTCACCTCCCAAAGTGCTGGGATTACAGGTGTGAGCCACTGCACCTGGCCAAGAAGCACTTTTTTCTTTTCTTTTTAAAAAACTTTTACTTTAGGTTCAGGGGTACATGTGCAGGTTTGTTATATAAGTAAATTGTGTGTCTTGGTGGTTTAGTGTACAGATTATTTCATCACCCAAGTGATAAGCACAGTACTCAGTAGGTGGTTTTTGGTCCTCTCCTTCTCATCCTTTATTCTCAAGTAGGCCCTGGTATCTGTTGTTCCCGTCTTTGTGTCCAAGTGTATGCAACGTTTAGCTTTCACTTCTAAGTGAGAACATGCGGTATTGTTGATCTAAAAGGAAGATGAGGCAAAACTAATATAAGTAGAGAGTTTATTGGGCTAAACTTGAGGATTGCGACCCAGTGTATATTCAAGTTGTCCTGAATGTACAATCTGATTAGCAGCAGTTACATGCAGATGTTTATAAAGGAAAAGGGACGTCCGGGCGCGGTGGCTCACGCCTGTAAATCCCAGCACTTTGGGAGGCCGAGGCGGGTGGATCATGAGGTCAAGAGATGGAGACCATCCTGGCCAACATGGTGAAACCCCGTCTCTACTAAAAAATACAAAAATTGGCTGGGTGTGATGGCATGCGCCTGTAGTCCCAGCTACTTGGGAGGCTGAGGCAGGAGCATTGCTTGAGCCCAGGAGGCGGAGGTTGCAGTGAGCTGAGCTCACGCCACAGTATTCCAGCCTGGCGCCTGGCAACAGAGCGAGAGTCTGTCTTAAAAAAAAAAAAAAAAAAAAAAAAAAGAAAAGGGGCAGTTCCCAAGTTGTTTATAAAAATTTACATTAAAATAACATAAACTGTTGATTTGCTACATCTGTTGTTCTTTGTATCACAGATTCCAGGAACACGAAGATAACAGGGAAGGCAGGAACCAAATGGCTTTTTTTTTTTTTTTTTTTGAGATGGAGTCTCTCTCCATTGCCCAGGCTGGAGTGGCACCATCTTGACTCACTGCAACCTCCACCTCCTGGGCTCCTGGGTTCAGATGTTCTCCTGCCTCAGCCTTCGAAGCAGCTGGGACTACATAAGCGTGCCACCATGCCTGGCTAATTTTTGTATTTTTAGGAGAGTTGTGGTTTCACCATGTTGACCAGGCTGGTTTCAAACTCCTAACCTCAAGTTATCCTCCCGCCTCAGCCTCCCAAAGTGTTGGGATTACAGGCATAAACTGCCAGACCACCAGGAACAAAATGACTTTAAACAATTGCCCTCAGGCATGGGGGGCAGTGGGTGGGAGGAGGGTATGTGCCGGGGGCATGACTGAAGTCCCTTACTCCTGTCTCTCTGGGCCTGATAAATTCTGCACACCTTACATGGCTCAGACTGCTGAGGGATTTTTTCTTTTCTTAGTATCAACCCTGGTTGACACATTAGAATCTTCTGAGGAGCTTGAAAACAATGTCAATGTCCAAGCGCCACCCCTGGAGACTAGCAATGTAATTGTTTAGACGCTCTCCAGTGATTCTATGGGCAGCCAGAGTTGAGAACTGATTTCCTTTCTAAAACTTGTCACAAACAAGGCAGAGCTGCTAAAATTCTAAATCTGAGGTATTTTTTTTTTTCTGAGACCGAGTCTCACTCTTGTAGCCCAGGCTGGAGTGGAATGGCGCGATCTCAGCTCACTGAAACCTCCGACTCCCGGGTTCAAGCAATTCTCCTGTCTCAGCCTCCTGAATAGCTGGGACTACAGGTATGCACGACCATGCCCAGCTAATTTTTGTATCTTTAGTAGAGATGGGGGTTTCACCACGTTGGCCAGGATGGTCTCGAACTCCAGACCTCAGGTTATCTGCTGCCTCTGCTTCCCAAAGTGCTGGGAATACAGGCGCGAGCCACTGCACTCGGCCAGATGCAGCTTTCAAAGCTAATCTCCTTACAGTTTATGAATCATTTCCTGAAGCGATAAACACAGTCTGCTGGGTTGAAACCATACATGCTGTGTTATCTGAATTCTGAGATGCTATTGAATCTGACCTTTGGTTTTTCGTGTGTTTCCAGAAACTAGCATGCAATCAACAGTCCCCATGACAAGAAACTCGGAGCTTGAGTTTCACTTCACAGGGATGCCACTGCTGTTCTGAATTGTCTCTTGGTGTTCTGGTCTGAAACTTTGCTTAGCAAGAGCCTCTCTCCTTTACACAACAGCTGGCTGAAAATCAGACCTCACACAGAGATTCTTGATCTGTGGACCTCACCATACTTGATGACTTGATCAGTTTCATTTCTCTTTCTCTTCTCTTTTCCCCTCCCCTCCCCTTCCTTCTCCTCCCCAGACAGGGTCTTATTCTGTCATCCAGGCTGGAATGTAGTGGCGCCATCTTGGCTCATTGCAACCTCTGCCTCCCAGGCTTAAGCCATCCTTCCGCCTCAGCCTCCCAAGTAGCTGGAACTACAGGCATGCGCCATCATGTGTGGCTAATTTTTGTATTTTTTGTAGAGACGGGGTTTTGCCATGTTGGCAAGGCTGGTCTCAAGCTCTTGGGCTCAAGCCATCCATCTGCCTTAGCCTCCCAAAGTGTCGGGATAATAGGTGTGAACCACTGCACCCTGCCGTTGAATCAGTTTCTGCTTCACAAATTGGAACACCTCAGCTCTGAAACAGCCAGAAACTCAGAGTAGTGCCTGCCGCTGTAAGCTAATTCTTTACCCATTTGCTTTTGTGCTTTTGTAATCATCATCAGTTTCTCTGTTTTCTTCAAGTCAATAAAGTTGGAAATCTTGGATAAGGGCAGTGGTTTTCAAACTTCTTTTGATCAGAACATCTTACTATACTTAAAATTACTGAAAACCAGCAAAGAGCCTTGGTTTATGTGGGTTGCATCCATTGGTGTACTGGAGTCAACTTGTACCTGCTCACAAGAATTCAGTATTCAGGAATTTTTTTCAAGCCAACTGTTAAAACTGTTGGGAGTTTAAAACTGGCGAAGGAAGAAGTATTCACATCATGAGAACTGGCAAATGCTACCGATCAGGCTGTGTGTGTGTGTAGATCCCATTTAGCAGCACATCACTGATTTTTTTTTCTTCTTTTTCTTTTATTGAGACAGAGTATTGCTCTGTTACCCAGGCTGGAATGCAGTGGTGCCATCTTGGCTCATTGTAACCCCTGCCTCCCAGGCTCAAGTGATTCTCGTGCCTCAGCTTCCCGAGTAGCTGGGATTACAGATGTGCACCACCACACCCAGCTAATTTAAAAAAAAAATTTTAGTACAGATGGGATTTGTCCATGTTGCTCAGGCTGGTCTTGAACTCTTGATCTTGTGATCTGACTGCCTTGGCCTCCCAAAGTGTCGGTATTACAGGCTTGAGCCACTGCACCCTGCTGCCAATGATTTTATCTACTGATATTTTCGATATTAGACATTAAAATAGAGAACTTTTGAAAACCTTTATTTCAGCTAAAAATGACAATAAACCTACTACATGTTAAAATAAATACTATATTTTCCGTAATTTTTTCCCCAAAACAATAATTTAAGGACTCTGAAGAGTTACATTGTTTTCCATTTGTGCAATCTCTTTAACGACTGGTGTAACAGGAGACAGTCAGATTCTCATCTCTGCTTCTGCATTCAATCTGTTGCACTTTCACATGTTGTGTAGCTTTTGGGAAACTCATCTGTCCACTTGTGAGAGCATCAGACCAAAAAAGGCAAATAATATCTTGGTGTTTTAAGAGAGTTTTGACCTTGCAGATCTGAAAGAGTCTCAGGAACTCTGAGAATAACTGCATTGGAGAATTTCTCCTCTCTTCTCACGTTGTAGCTCACTTAACCACACCTCCTTCACAAAACACAATTAGGTTTATCCTGTGGTCAATTACTCTCCATGCACATTTGGTCCAGTAATTTTGAAAGGCATAGCCACACAACATGGTATTTATGCCAGGAAATTACCACTGGTGACCTGTTTGTTTTCCCCCTTAATGTTCACGACAGCACCTGGCTGAAGACAAGCTACTAATGGATGGTCCAGGCCCCAGAAACGTAAATAGCTTGGCCATCAATGCTGCTTAACTTTTTCCACTTGTTTCTGTAGCTCAACTTCCTCAAAGACATGCCAATAGTTTACTTTCTTAAATTCAGAAGTATAACCTAAAATTTTCCAAGTGTATATTCAATAGCCAAGCATTCCATTTCCTTAAAAATGCTATTTTTGGCTTGATGGAAAAAACATTTTTTTCTTTTTTTTTGGAGACATGGTCTCACTTTGTTGGCCAGGCTGGAGTGCAGTGGTGTGATCATGGCTCACTGCAGCCTCAGGCCTCAGATGATCCTCATACCTCAGCCTTCTGAGTGGGTGGGACCACAGTGCCACCATGCCAGATTATTTTTTAATTTTTTTATTGAGACTGGGTCTCACTATGTTGCTCAGGCTGGTCTCAAGCTCCTGGCCTGAAATGATCCTTCAGCCTCAGCCTCCCTAAGTGCTGGCATTATAGGTGTGAGCCACTGTGCCTGGCCAAAAAACATTTTTGTATTAGCAAAATTTAAGTATTTTTTGAACTAAGTCTATTCCTTGAAACACATGTGAAGAGTCCAGACCTCGGAAACTTAAAAAGCTTGTGTGTTAACTTATAAAAATTCTGTGTTAACAAAATCCTTGTTTAGTGAAAACAATTTTCATTGACTATGAATCTAGATATAATGTACAAAAAATCTTTTGATTTTCAACCCTGAGAAGTACTTAGTCACCTCACTTTAAATTTCCCCTCTTCCCTTCTGCCTGAGGGAGTGCTAGATGGCAAAGGACTGTCATTCAGCCAGAGAAGACAGCACAGCCCTTCTATGGATTTCCTTTCTGCTCTGACATTTAATTTTTCTCTCACTAGGGAAGAACTGCAGACACTACCCATGACATCTATAACTCAGAAAGATGAACATATTCTCAATAAGCTTAAATTTTCCTAAGAAGGGATTAAGAGAGAGAATCACTCAATGTCTTTGGCAGAAATGATGCTGTTTTTTTTTTTTTTTTTTTCCCTTATGCATTTGTTCTCCCAGATCCATTCTCCATGCTCAAGGAAGCTGATCTTTATGGATGAATTCACCACTGAGTTTTGGGTTAAGATTAGGATCAAGAGGAGGCCTCACAAGAGATCAGAGGGTAAGGGAGAGGGGTCAGTGTGCTCCCTCCTCTACCTGGGCCTTGGGGCGGTAATAGCTTCCCCTGATTGCTAGTCTCGGGGGGTGCTTCACCACTCCCTGTTGGTTCCCTTAACCCTGTCCATACCTCTGCAAACCACCTCTTTATTAAATGCTCTTCAGTTAACCCCTTAAAGTATGCCAGGACCAGAAAGATACAATACTAATTTATTCCAAAGAGATATCAAGCAAATGTTCACATTAATTAATACAGGTTACATTTTTAAGAGTGAACACAAAAACAGTGACATACTATTTTACAAGTACAGTAATGACAGCATATTTTAATATATACAGACTAATAAACAATGACAGTAAACCTCCACTGATTTAGATAAAATGAATGGAATCACTAAATTAATAAAACCAGTGCTAGCTTCTACTTACAATACAGTTATATTTCATGTAAGTTATTCTATGGTATTTGGAAATAGTTTTTTTTTTTTTTGAGACAGAGTCTTGCTGTGTCACCAGCCTGGAGTGCAGTGGCATGATCTTGGCTCACTGCAACCTCCGTCTCCTGGATTCAAGTGATTCCCCTGCTTCAGCCTCCTGAGTAGCTGGGACTACAAGCATGCGCCACCATGCCCGGCTAATTTTTTGTATTTTAGTAGAGACAGGGTTTCACCATGGCCAGAATGGTCTCGATCTCCTGACCTCATGATCCACCTGCCTTGGCCTCCCAAAGTGCTGGGATTACAGGCGTGAGCCACTGCACCCAGCAAATTTGCTCTTTTTAAATAGGTAAACATTTGCCTTGCAACCTTCTATTTTGTTTAAAATACTACCATTTTTTCACAAGAAAGAAAAATATGTTTGAACCTAATTTCCAAATTACTTTGTGAATTCCATGAAGATTTTCTACACTTGATACTTAGGAGGTTAAAAAATGCTTTTAAAATAATAGAATAATTTTCCTAGATTTCAATGCCAATTCCATTTTCTTCTGTTATTTCTTTTCTTCTTCTTCTTTTTTTCTTTTTTTGAGATGGAGTCTCACTCTATTGGCCAGGCAGCAGCGCAGCGGCACGATATTGGCTCACTACAACTTCTGCCTCCTGGGTTCAAAGAAGTCTCCTGCCTCAGCCTCCTGAGTAGCTGGAATTACAGGCATGTGCCACCATGCCTGGCTAATTTTTTTGGTATTTTTAGTAGAGATGGGGTTTCACCATGTTGGTCAGGCTGGTCTTGAACTCCTAACCTCATAATCTGCCTGCCTTGGCCTCCCAAAGTGCTGGGATTACAGGTGTGAACCACCGCACCCAGTCTTCTGCTATTTCTAAGCAGACTGACATAATTGATTCTTAAAACCTGATTTGAGCAATCTATTGAGCAAAACATTTGTAAATAAATAGTGCCCAATTAAATCAGACTTATTTAACAAAATATATGTCTTGTCTTGGATTATGTTTTCACTTTAAGTTATAACCACAAGAAATAGTAACCCAAAGTTTCAAAGTTCTTTAGCTGACAGGCCTTGCTTGTGTGAAACATTTATTACACATACATCACACTCTATCTGTCATCTACTTTGCTTCTGAGGGCAGGTCTCAGTCTTATTCCACTCTGTACACCCAGCACCTATCTGAGTGCCCAGAGCACTTAATGGGTACTTCCATATCAGAACTGACCTTTCAAGACAACTACTGAATGTGTTTACACCCAGTAGACGGGCATCCAGAAGTCCATGCCTTCTTTCATTGTTTTTAAGATGGGTAGAGAAGTTTTTCACGGTCATTACCTCCTAGGATATCACATTCTGCTTTGCCAGTTTCTCATAAACATGATCGGTTCACAGCCGATCCCATGGGGAAGGAGCAAATGTGGTGGCCCCAGTCTCACTGCTTTCTGCGAGGCTCAGCGGGAGGGTTTCTGGCCAATCTGTGTCTGACATGGCCCAGGCATGTGTCTGCTGCTCTGAGTCCTCCATCAGGGGCAGACGCATGCAGCTCTCAGGAATAGGCTACTCTGAAAGCCAGTGTACCTTCACTAGAGGACTTAGGTTCAGTTTGGCTTATGTATACCATGTATAAAATGTAAAAAATACTACCCATATCAAAACAGGGGGTTTTCATCTGTTTCCATAATTTTAGGAATTCAAACTTGGATATGTTTAAAACTGAAAACACTAGAACTTCTACACACAGATAATACTAAGTCTTATCCCTCGATAACTTAAACCTTGCTGTCAAACAATTTCAAAATACACTTATTTGCAAAAGTGGTACAAGCCCAAACTATGAAGTCTCTCACTGTTGATAAACATCTTCAAATGTTCAGGGCTAAACTCTACCACCCTAGACTTAAAATCAGAGAATCAGAGATTATTTCTCTAATTGCTGGGAGGGAAGAAAAGAGGGTTTCAAACTGCCTATTCTAAACTGCACTGCAATAATATATGTGTACGTATACATCTACATACATATACACGTATAAATATGTATATGTCATCTAGCTATATCCAAAAGTGACATTCAGTTATTACTGTAGCATTGGCAATATACCCTTGGAATAACACGGTCTTCTAATCCTGTTATCTTTCTGATAATTAACAAAAACAGATGCTGGATGGCTCCCATAAAAAGCAGGCATGCAAGTCGTACATCTGTTGTTTTAGGGGGTGAAGTCAATACAGTTTGGGCAGGGACTAATAGAATACTCAAGTTATCCACTTTTATAAACGTTTCTTTTTAACCTCCCAGCAGTCCCTTTTCCTAAGTTAACAGCTTTTTGTATATGCTGTTATTCAGGTTACTAGAGCAGGTATCTATTTTACTTGCCACCAACTGCCCACTGCTATTATAACTGCTGGGATCATAACTTTCTCTGCAGCATAAGATACTGTAGAGGTACCTCTGGCACTCAGAGGAAGCGTAATAGTAAATCAGGGGGTCGATGCAGCAGCTTATGCTGCTGACACAGACACAGAGGAGGTAGGCAAAGTAGGCAGCCTCTGTGGTAGAAGTGTGAAAAAGGAACGAGTAGTGCGCAATCAGGAGGATGTTTGTGGGTCCGAAGCAAATGATGAAGATGCAGAAAACGGCAGCTGACAGGAACAAAGCCCGGGACTTCTTGCTGCGGTTGGCAATTGTGGAGGAGCTAAGACATCGAATGATAGACACATAACAGACTGTGGAAATGAGCAACGGCACAAAAAAGAAGACGGCAGAGAAGGCTGAGAAGTAGTAGGCAAAGTAGCCTTCAAGCAGAGTTTCGTTGAGTACATCATGACAGGTGGTGATGTTGAGCCCGGGCACCTGGATGGTTTGCTCCTTGAGGAGCAGAGGCACTACCCCTGCAATGGCCAAAGCCCAGATGGCCAGACAAGTGAAGGAAGCCCTTCCCAGAGTACGCCAGGAGAGGGACTGGATGGGATACACCACAGCCAGAAACCGGTCAATGCTTATGACTGTCATGAGCATGATGGAGGCGTACATGTTACAGTAAAACGCTGCAGTGACGAAGCGACACAATTCAGACCCAAACTTCCAATCACTGCCGGAAAAGTAATAGCTGATCTTAAAGGGGAGCACAGACACAAAGAGCACGTCTGCCGTGGCCAGGTGCAGCATGTACACCACCGCCGGCTTCTTGACCTTCATTTTCAGGATGAACACAATGATGGCCATGATGTTTAGTGGGAGGCTGACCACAAACACACCCGTGTACACGGAAGGGACAAAGAGTGTCAGCCAGGAGCTGGTCAGATATCCGGAGGCATCTTCTGAGATGAACGCAGGCAGTGGTTTTTGAAGAGGATGGCTTTTATTGATGGAGATTGATCTGTATTCAGTTAACCCGCTTTTGTTTTTCTCCTCATCCTCCCAAAATGGTTCATATTTATCATCGGGATTCCTGAGAAAAAATGACCGAAGACCTAAGGTGGCATTTGTTGCTTCTGACCCTGAAAAATAAAATAAAAAAATTTGTAAATATAAGAAGTGAATGCATCAACAAGGCAAAAGCAACAAGTGGACAGCGTGTTTTACTTTTGTTTGTTTTATGTTTTCTTATCAGGAGAGTGGGTGGTAAAGAGCAGAAGAGGCATAGATAGACTTTGGTGGAGAGTAAGCCAACTGAAAATACTGTGCAACATTTGTCTTGATATAAGCAAACACTTCTAAAACTCTGCCCCTCAAAGAGACACAGGTGAATGAGAGTTACCCCGAAGACATCAGGAAAGGCTGAGTACTTGACATAAATGAATCAATCAGTGATTTCTACACTAGCCACTGTCTATATAAACAATTCACTCCCAGTTTCGATGGCTTCTCTTTCCTCCATATGTCTTCACATGCACATTTCCTCCATTTAGTTTGTAGCCATCCATGAAACTTGTCCCTTTTCAATGGAAAAATCCACATAGAAAGTTGAGGAAATTTCTTTCTTTCTTTTTTTTTTTCCTGAGACAGAATCTCACTCTGTCGCCCAGAGTGGAGTACAGTGGTGTGATCTTGGCTCACTGCGACCTCTGCCTCCCGGGTTCAAGCGATTCTCTTGCCTCAGCCTCCTGTGTAGCTAGGATTACAGGCGCATGCCACCAGAGGGGATTTCTTAAAGGTTATAGAGTTAGAGGCAAGTTCATAATGGGACTCAGGACTCCCAATTCTACGACCATTGTCCATGACAGTAGTTTTCCCCTATAGTCTTCAGTTTGCTTACACAGGAGAATGTAGAAATCTCTCACTATATCTGGGTCCAAGCCACAATCCCTGGGGTTACCTCCTAACATAGCCACAAGGTGCCCATCACCTCAGTCATTCTTATGCCTCTTTCCTGAGCTGGGCAGCAGAGCGGCAGATGTTCTTGGCCCCTTGTGCCAAGCCAACCAAGGTTTCTGGAGTATCAACCAGATATCAAAATAAAGGCTCAGCTGTACACGTCCTTTCCCACCAAAAAGGTCCATTTGAAATGCTCATCAAAGAAAAGCAACATTTAGCCGCTGAAATTCAGTCAGCTCTTGCTCCCAATGAGCTTTGCTAAAATTCTGCCATTGAAGAGAAACAGACAAAAAAGCCTTTGTTGGGTCTTGGGAAGCTGAGGAGGGAAGACAGAAGAGACAAACCACAGAGGAAAAAAGGCAAAGTCTGTGTTACTGGAAGTGCTCACAACAAAGGCTGGACACACAAGTCACTTAGAAGTAATGTTAGAGGATTTAAATATTGGCAGAGGCTATGTGTGCTGGGTCATGCCTGTTATCCCAGGAGGTTGAGACCAGCTGAGGCAACATGGCAAGACCCCGTCTCTACAAAAATTAAAAATTAAAACAATTAGCCAGGCATAGTGGCACTTGCCTGTGTCCTAGATACTCAGGAGGCTGAAGTGGGAGGATTGCTTGAGCCTAGGATTTCAAGGTTACAATGAACTACGATCATACCACTATACTCCAGCTTCGGTGACAGAGTGAGACCTTGTCTCTTAAAAAAAAAAAATTGGCAAAAAGTTGGATAGATACAGTGAATTTTCAAACTTTTGGTTTTGTTTTTCAGCAGTGGAACCTTTCCTGGAAACAAAACTTATAGAGAGGGGCATGATGCAACAAAAGAGAGCTTTCTGCTTCTGGCATGGCTCCTTAAGTTCTGTTAGAGCCAACCATCCCTTCGATAACAACGTTAAACTCTAAATTCCTTCTCCACCTCGTCCGCTTATGAAATCAATGACCTGAGGCATTTAGATTGCTCAGGTGGTGGAAGGGGAGAGTGGAGAAATCGAGTGGTGAATCTTGGAAGAAAGAATGGCACTTGGTGAGTTTCTTGTTTTCAGTGACTTTTAGCTAGAAAGAAGGATGATGTTGGTGCCTGTGATACTATGAAATACGTATTTGGTGATATGGTTTGGCTGTGTCCCCACCCAAAAATCTCATCTTGAATTGTACTCCCATAATTCCCACGTGTTGTGTGAGGTCCCAGTGGGAGATAACTGAATCATCGAGGAGGTTTCCCCCATACTGTTCTCATGGTAGTAAGTCTCATGAAATCTTATGGTTTTATAAGGGAGACCA